TCTCAGCTGGGCCAGCAGTGGGGCGAGGTGAGCCGTGTGGGGAGGGTAGAAGGAAATGAGGGAGGGCTGAGGCAGGCTGGGTGACCTGGGCCTTTGTTGGCAGATGGTGGGAAGCACCACCTTGGCCTCTCACTCTGAATGCTAAGCAGCAGAGCTTTTGTCTGGCCGGTGCGGCCGCGGACGCATGCGCTGGGTGTTTCTCCGACAACTAGCAGCAGACCCTGGCGGCGCACAGCCTCCACCCAAACTGTTCCTGTGCATGGAAGCGTACGCGCCTCCACCGTCCAACACCCCCCACCCCCCCCTCCCACATCTCAGGGCTCTACAAGCACACACTAACATTCTCCCAAGTAGGAATTCCCATACGACAGGGGGCCAGACCAGACGCGGAGTAACACGCTCCCACACTCCTGACCCAGGAGGCCGGGTGGAGAGTGAAAGGTCAGACTAGCAGCAGCTCTCCGAGGGGTTCGTTTTCCTCGAAGTACGACAGTTAAAGGCGGTGAGACCTTCCGGGTTCAAGTTAATAAAATTGGATCCAAGGACCCAAGTAAGAGTCAATCCTTGTAGGATTCTCTTGTGCTGGACTAAATTAAAACCAACTTATAGATCATCAACCGGCCACGGAATTTGCCGAGCTAACAGCCTGGGGTAGCTCCACTTGGTCAGAATAAGATTCTGTGAAAAATGAAGTCAGATGACAACCTGAACGGACCGAATAAGCAGATATTTCCATCATTACATTTTTGGGGGGCATTTTCCCAGCTGACACTGCTAGGGTGTATCAGGTCCATATCGTGAAAGAGGGAGCATTTCAAACACGGCTGGCATCCACAAAATCCAACCCCTTAATGGCAGCAAACAACTTCTGGGAGACGATTGGGAATATTTAGATCTAGCATCTTAGCACTGAAACAATGTCACTGCAAATGTATCCCGTATCAAAGTTTAAGGTGGTCAAAAAAACAAACAAAAAAACTAGCCAAAAGAAAATAAAACCGAATGTGGCCCTTTTTCTGGCAGAGAGCCAAGTGGCTGGGGTTTGACTTATTCGTCCATTAAATCCCTCACTGTTGACATGAATGCAAATACGTCTGCAGCGCAGCCTTCAGTGTGGTTGCCGTGGAAAGATGTTTGGGATTACGTTTGGACATTCAAAGTAAGTGCACAGCAGCCAGGGTTGAGAATAAATCTACCCGAGCAAACAAGAGACCGTGCTGTTGTAATACCCTTAAACAAACGTTCATAAAGCCGATTGGGCGTCCTATTTGTCGTTATCAATAAACGTTTTTTTTTTTTTTTTTTTATATTCGACGGGCAGAAGCCACAACAGAATGATGATTCTGCATTATATATCAGCCGCTCTGCTCAGTAAGCAGTTGGATCAGCCACTGAAAAACCATTTCGACCACAGCCCTACACTGAAACAAGCGATGAGACGATTCATGGCCGCTAAGTACGGAGTGAAGCTGAATAAGTCTTCATGATAGCATCTCCAGCTCCTGAATACCTCATCAAATTTTCATTATAGTCTTTTTAATACGATTCAAAAAGCTTAAGCACTTAGGTTTATTTACATGAATCAAACAGCTCCATTTTTATGTTGTATTTTGCATTTGAAACAGAAACAGGAGACAGACCACTGCAGGAAAGTCAACAGAGGATTAGAGTATGGTGGAATAAAGAGCCATGCATTACAAAAGGCTGACGACATAAGTAAAGGAAAGGAGTAAAGAAAACAATCACCCCTTTACCTTCATATACACTAAACACATAATTAGAAGGTGCAACTCTGTTCTAAAACTTTACACTCTTCCTGTCCCACAAGTGAAAGTAGGTTAGGAAAATTAAACAGTGACTTCAAAAGCTTCGAGTCAAAAGCGGCCATGCTGTCACAGATAGAAACTTCCTGGCTTGCTCATCCAACTCACAGACAATTCGAATACATCATCAATCACAGCGAGCAGCAAAAAAAGAGAGGGCTTCATACCGACACCGGCACCTGCTATAACCTGCTCCTTACTGCCCCGTTCAGATGCTAGAGACACAAGGCGGCCGTGATCATGGGTGGCAGGAAATCAGGTTGAGCTGTCACAGCCCAAAGCTAAGCCACAACAGAAGCTGTCAGATCACAAAAGACTCATCTCTCTGCCATGAGCAGGCAGGAGGCATCCGCTTAATCCTCTCCCTCTCACACTCTACTGATACCATGCTGTAAATAAAACAGGAGGTGACACAACCACTGTGACTTCACTCCACCAAAAAGTAGGCTAGGGTAGCACCTAACCATCCCTGACTAAAGGACAAAAAGGTAAAGGCATGCTTTAAAGGCCCGGGCGGCACGAGTCTATCACAAATAAAATACAGAATAATGAAAATTACCTCTATTGTGTTAAATAATTGCAGATTGATTCCTGGATATGCTCATTGAATAGAAGAGGAACCAAAGCAACAGTAATACCTGAGGCTCTTTAAAACAAAAGGTGCACAGATGATGATAATTTAACAAACCGGTCCTTCCAAAGCATAAATCTACCATCTGTCACTGAGTTCAGGCCTGTCAAGGTGCACTTCATCAACCCCCCTACCCTCCGAAAGCTAATGCTATTAGAAATATCAAAGGACGTGCGATTCCCACAGGCCAGGCCTGTTACGAGCCAACTTCAGCACAATTACATTACAGAGCTACAGGTCATGACGATTAATTTAAGGGAGCCCTTGTAGGATTCGACCTTGCATCCACTGACCTGTGCACTTGCTAACCAGAAAGGCTGTTCTTAGTTCTGCTCTAGCTGCAACGGAGCTTTAACTCGGCTATAGCATCCCGCTAGTCAACAACCAGCACTGAACAAAGCCGGTAACCTGTTTGGAGAACCGGCAATGTAGCTTCCCTGTGCCCAACTACGCCTTCTCATTCATCAGCACTGCGTTGCTACAGTTACGTTACTGATATATTTAATGACGTATGTCAGCAGGAACCGTTATGTAGCTTCAACTGCCCAAAAATCAACCTGACATCTGTTAGCTTGAGCAGCCGGCTTGATTAGCTAACGTTAGCACCTTTAGCTAGCTAATTGTACCCTCCCCTCCCAGCTCCCTCCAAACGAAACCATCATCCCCACATCCAACCCGTGTTTACCTATCGAAAGCATAACTGCATATTGAGTTAAAAAATGTGTAAAAGGGATAAAATAGCATGCAATTTCTTTGTTACCCATGTGAAAGGATACTGAGGTGGTGGTACAGCGCCAGGTTGGGGAGCAGTTGGGGCTCCCGGCGGCAGAGACACGGAGGTCAGGGTAGCCCGCAGTTGGCTCGAAGGAGAGGGGCCACTTCCAGGTCCGCTAACTGCGACAGCGGCGGGTTTAGGGACCACTTTCGGTGGCAAACTCATCGCAAAAAATTAACAAATAAAAACACCTTAATAAATACTGATACAAACAGCGCTTAGCTTGCATTCATAGAGCAAGCGTAGCAGATTCTTGATGCAGGCCCCAAATCCCTTTAACGACCTGGGATAACGAAGCTCGAATAGCAACACAAACGTCTTTTTTTTCATGGAAAGTCGCTGTTCGGATCAGCGGTGCTATTCATGGGGACGGTGGGAGGTTTAGCCTCCCTCGCCCGTCCGGAACCGCGGCGGATCCGGTCCGGTTCGTTTCTTCAAAACGAAATAATCGCCGCGATCTTCGACCTCCCTCGGCGATCTACCTTTTCTTCTCCGCAATTGTGTTTTCTATCATTTTTTTTCTCACAGAGATGAGAGACTTCGCCAACATGGCGTTGCGGCCGCTTTCAGCAGTCCAGGCAGGACAGATGATTCGGCAAATCTCGGCCAGCTACGGAGTCACTCGGCTAATCAACGAACCTTCAGTCAAACACGGCGTGCCTCACGTACCAAAGCGCGCACGGCTTTTATTTTTTCTTCTTCTCTGTTATATTGATTACAAAATAGACTGAGTAAGTAAGATTCGAGTCCAGGATATGCCAAATGTTCATTCAATGACCTGAAATGATTGAAAAATATTAATAAAGTCCACCTTTGTTTAATCGATGCGTGCAAAGCTTAAAGGTTTTTTTCTTGCTATGTTTGAGCCATCGGCTAATGTGCGTGTTTGACCAAGGCAGGCCGTTAAAATAAAAACCTTACTAGCGCCATCTACCGATTTAACGGCGGTATCGCATCAATACGTGAACTCATTTCCCTTTTAAATCTACTACAATTTAAGTAATCCAATCTGGACCACTGCCTACTGTGTGTACTCTCTGTGTGTAAGAATGGCTACAAAAACACGAACAATCACTCCAACACAGACAAATGTTTTTTTTTAGATGGGTTTTACTATACAAAATAATTTGTGATAAACTCTTACACATAAAACCAGGTATGACACATCATGGCTTGGCCAATGCTCATGTTCTGGGTGACAGTTTGACAATTTTTTACAAAACATTTTTTAAAAATCCATTATAGTACATACAGAAAGTTGAAAGATTTCAACAAATCATCATAAACTTTTTTATAACTTTACATTAGGGTTATAAATCTTGCAGGTCTGTTATTTATAAAAAATATAGCTATAAATACAATAAAATAAACCAGAGCAGATCCAAACACAGTGGAAAGTAATCATTAAAAAAAAATTACTCTGTTTGCTTATCACATGATCTCATATCGCACATTTAAAGTGGTTCCCCCATTTCTGTAACCAACTGTTGGTTTTCCAGTGTTACAAAACACATGTACAGCTACATTTAACTCAGGGTCTTGAGGGAAGCTGCTTTCTAAACAATCAGTTCTTGTGGATGAGCACTGAAGACTGCAGGAATGCAGGCCTTTTTGTGTCCCGATAAGCAGCCCAGTAAAGCTTTAAATGACAAGGCATAAAGGGTTTCAGTGGTTCTCACATTTCCGTCCAGAGAGACTTTGTCATTCTTGTGCTGTGTTCCCAAATGTTCATTTCGCTCCGTGCTGAAAACCAACAACGAGCAATGAAGCCTCACCAAAGCTCACACTTATGTTTGGGGTTCATGGGAGCATCTGCTTTGCAGCCAAAGTGCTCTGAGAATTCACGTGAGTTGGAGATAGTGCCGATGACTCTAAATCTTGACGGGCTGTGAGGATCTGTGATTACGCCCTCGTGTGAGCTCTCGGGTGTCCTGACAGAGCACCATACCTGTAAGCGAAAAGAGATTTAAGTAATGAGTAAAAACTTTGCTTCCCCTTTACGTTCGTTCTAAAAATGTGTTGAGTGTAGGGCTAGATTCCAGGGAACGAGCTAAATTTACGATGAGTCATGTGTACAGGATAGGGGGTTAAGCTGCCTTTCCAATAGAAAGAGGAAGAATGCTGGGCTAAGACATGTACCAAGAAAAAAGTATATCAGATAAAAGTTACAATTCCAAGCTGACCGTTTTCATTGTTCTGTGTGCAGACCTTTACGTGTTAATGTAAAAATGATGACTTGGTGATGTAACAACTTCCTGGGAGCCAATCATGACCTGATATGAAACTTGTGTGAGTGTTTCAGTGAAATATGAGGCCTCCAGCACAGACACACTGACAGTGGGTCTAAACACAGACGCTGAGTAATCATAAAGGCCGGGTCAGTATCACCATTAATATTGAACTAGTCTCGAATAAGAGATACAAACCTGGGCAAATCCTACAAAAAACAGCTGATGGTTTGTCATTCCCAGAGCAGGCAGTGTGGCTTCCTCACCGTTCCTTTTGATCCAGTTCACGTAAGCCTTTAAATCGACAAATGATCGTGTTACCCAGATGCAATCAGTGTTATCTCTCCACACAGAGACAGAGACACGGTAGAGCTTTCAGTTTGTGTTGTTTAGCCAAGGAAAATGTCTGGCTACGTGCTGGGTCACTTTCACTTCCATATTGCTTGCTCATCTGCTTCGTAGCGTCTGACCTTTGCTTACATGGAAAGAATGTGTGCATGCAAGTAAGTAACCAGAGGCTGACACAAGGCCACTCAGAAGCACCTGTTGCATTTCCAGGCTTCGCCGTAAACTGGACAGCCTACTTTTTCCAACACAGATGAATGGACCTGAACCGAGGCAGATGGGTTTGATGTAAACTAACTCGGAGAATGTTGGAACCTTCTTTGGAGTTTTATGACAGTGTAAACAGGCAATCTGAAGAAAGTTGCCAGAGCAAACATAGCACTAAACATCGCATCTTTCCATAGAATTACAAATAATTTAATACTAACAAAATACCATTTCCCCCATGATTTGAAAGATTCATTTGCAAAATAGTAATAGCTAAAGGTGAGTTAGGAGCTTCTTCCCAAAAACAGACCTTGTAAGCAGCCTTTAGTCCGCCGTTATCAGCAATGTTTTCTCCAAGGGTGTGTCTTCCATTCAGAGGCTCCTGGTTGATGCTGTAATTGCCGTACTGCTCCACCAAGCACTGGGTCTGCTTTTTGAAGGCCTCCACAGAAGAATTGTTCCACCAGGGTCGCAAGTTTCCATCCTTGTCGTATTCTCTTCCTTAAGAAAAAAGTGGGAGGTATTTCAGAATGTATCGCCACCTCCTGCTTCAACTAATTACCTATCTGGCTCATGTCTTTGTACTTAAAGAAAAGTAGTTTTAAAGAGCTGGATTCTTTATTTCTTTTTATTTACCTTGGTCATCAAAAGCATGAGTTAGTTCATGACCCATGACCACGCCAATGCCACCAAAGTTAAGTGCTCTGTAAAAAAAAAAAAAAAAACAACCCATCAATTCATGCTTTCTTCGATATTATCCCAGATAACAGATATCAAACAGCTGTGTGCTTGGACAGTAAGCTAGTCAGAGTATATGTTTGACGTGCCTGTCAATCAGCAATCAGGTCCACTGTGGTTGTGGACAACAGTGGACAAAAGTGCTTTATAAATAACACTGGATTGGATTGGATTTCAGGACACATCTACGGCTGGTTGCCGTGCAACTCAAACAAATAAGTTATTCATTTGAAAATGTGATGAAGTGAAACAAAATGAGGCTCTTAGACCACTGGACTCTTATCAAAAAGTCCGATGTGGGTAAAAAAAAGAAAAGAAAAAAAGAACAGATGTAGTTTCCTGCATGCTGCTAAAATACCTCCAGAATATTTTAACAAAATTGACATGCGGCATGCTACACGTACTTTGGCCACCATCGACTATAGAATGGAGCTTGAAGGATTCCTGCGGGCAGCACCATCTCATTCTTGGTTGGGTTGTAATACGCATTTACAGTCGGGGGGGTCATGCTCCACCTGCAGCACAAGAAACACAGAGTCAGGCCTTGCTGCCTTCAAGGTTACCGCAAATTGCGGATATTGATTCCACACAAGCTGCCATGCCAGGCGGACTACAGATCAGTTTTGAGGGCATGGGAACGCTCGTCGGACCCCTCCCCCACAGCCTAAACAGCGACAAGGATCAGTTGAGCCGAGTGAAGCCAGTTGCCTGGGAACGTTTGTGGATGGCAGCTGTATTCTGCCGAGTCCCTTTAACTGGGAGCGAGTCCCCATTGAAGCCTGCCACCTCCTCTGAGGGAAGAGGGCCAGCGCGGGGAGCAACTCACTGGTTTCTGTTGGGAGTTTTCCTCAGCTGGTCTGCAGTCACTCTGGCTGAGAAGTTGTAGTACTGCATGACATTTTGGAAGTAAAGCTCCGACTCCACCATAAACTATATGGAGGAGATAAAAAAAAAGGAAAAAAAAGAAAAAGGAAAATAGTATATACAGTTTCAATGAGATAATAGACAGAGAAAAAAATGCAGCAGTTCCACATTTACCTACATCATTAAAGACTTTGTCCAGCTTTGTGGCGTTCATGATGAAATCTGGATAGCCCACCATGTTGTATATTGCATCCGCCTGTAAGGGATGAGAGTTCAGGAATGTAAAAGACATGTTTTCACAGCAGGTGGCAGTGCTGTCGTTCTCTGCCGCTTCAGCACAGAAAGCTTCCAGACAACAGGCCTCTCCGCAGATCTTAAGTGAGTGGGACTTCCTGGGAGAAACGTATGCGACGTCGCACGCCCACCTTTTCTTTTGCCGCTCTCTTTGTCTCCGAGTCCATCCAGCTCACATACATCAAGCTGTCTTCAAACGCCCCTTTGATTTGTGACACCATCTCCTCCGCCTGGGGCACAGAAGAGACTAAATCAAAAACCTCATCACCTCACGTGGCCGGAGAAGAATGCGAGAGAAGTGTCTTGAGAGACTTACGATGGATTTGCTGTCCTCAGCAAAGGTGGCTTTAACAAACATGGCTCCAAGAGCAAAGCCCAGGGCGCTGTCTGTGTCACTGACGCACAGCTTCCAACGGGGAGTACAGCTCTATTCCAAAAACACAAAACACAAAAACCATACAAACTGAGGGAAGGTTATAACATCAGCATGTGACATAACAGTCTGTTTCTCTGCGCTGGAGATTTATTTCAAAATTTTTTCACAGTTTCCATTAGCGCCGTCCAACATTTAGCCGTATCACTTAGATTTATCTAATCAGTTTATCCGAAACGCTTGAGGGCCGCATGTGTGGGTGAAGAGAGCAGTTGTGAAACAGAGTCTCATCCTGCCCTGTAGCAAATGTTTGGTTGTTTCTGTTACGACTCCTGTTCCAGAAAAGCAAAAAACAAAAACAGAATGTACCGATCGGAGAAGCAAAAAAAAAATCAAAACAGATTACAGAAAACAGATCAACTGTGAAAAATGAGACATTTGACTATTTCCTGATAATACTGAGATTGTTGTGAAAGAAATTCATCACTTTAAACATCTAAATATCTCCAACATGATCAGAATTCAATTTGGGAAGCCTGAAACATGACAGCTGAATGCAGGTTTTGTGTTTTGTCCATTAGTGTGACCTTATCAAAAGACTTAAATCATATACAATTTGCCAAACTGCATTAAAGCTGAATCCAGTTCTAACTGGATGAGTGGTGGGTTTGGGTGGGAGCTGTGCAGAACATCAAAGCATCATGTTTATGTATTAGGCAGATGCATTCATCGATTAGCCTTTGCATTGGACACATTTTAGTCAATGTTGTTGATATATACAATGAAATTAATTGTCCTTAAACTCTAACCAGTCTAAAAATTGTTTTTAAAGAAATGTAACATACAGCAAAAAAACATCCAGCAGCTAAAATGTATTATTGGACAAGAAAGACATTATCTTCCTGCCCCATTCATCCAGAGATTTTTCTCCTTTCCTGTCCCTCTAAAAAAAGCTGACCTAGGAGGCATTTCAAAAGGGTGGTAAAACCCAGAGACACTCAGCATAAGGATGGACTTGAGATTTATTTTTAAAGTGAGGTGAAGATAGACTACTGACTGAATTCTGTCTTGATTGTTTTTCCCCATAGTAAAAAAGTGTTTTCAACAAGTCGATACAAAAGTGTACCCCATGGTAAGTTTGCTATTTTCCACAACAGGATTACACACCAAAATGCAAACAGAACTGGAAAAAGTCTCATAAATCAGCAATCAGAAGACAAAGTGCAAATGAACACAACAGGGGAGATTTCAAAAGGAAAAATAGTTGAATCTTAATTCATCCTGATTCAAGAAAAAACATTTTTATACCTCTATCCATATTCAAAGTACTGTCAACATTTAACCAAATAATACAACAGCTGTAACTTTGATTGGATTGATGACTTTTTAACCCGCGTATTCACTGACGGAAACCAAGAAACAGCCAGCTAACCAAAAAAAAAGGATCCGCGGGTTACAGAAAGGATGTAAAAAGAATGTAAAAAGGAAGAAGGTCACAATGAGGAAATCAGGAGTCTTCTAAGTAAGCAAAGCTGTAAAATCTACTTTGGCCCACAGTTGGAGATGGAAAAAGAGACTCAGCTGCATTCTAACAGAAAACAGAACCACAAAGACGCGCACTGAACGTTTTGGTTTGTTATTACAGCTTGACCCCGATGGAAAACAAAGCAGAGGGAAGAGGATCTTGTTTAGATAAGCCCATGGGGTCACTGGAGCCTTCCCCGTTAAAACACTTACTCACTTTAAAAGGAAGGGCATCTTGATGAAGTGTCAGTGGCCGCACATATTTGTGCTCAGAGATCTTCATCTGTGAGCTCGCACATTTAATCCACAAATGGTAGAATTAATCTGCAGGCTAATGGCGCCTCAGGCGGAGCGGTTTGTTTTCACGGTGGAGATTTCTGCTTCTACTCCAGTGCGCTGAAGTTGAAAGCACTTCATTTGATAAATTGTCTACTCTAGTTAAGCCATATACAGGGGAAATTCAGCTTTTCTATTCCATTTATCTGTGCTGAGTTAGAAAAAAAATGGGGGAAAAAAGAACACTGTGTCGAACCCAGGAACACAGGGTCAAGAGAAAGGTTCTCTTAGCTCAGCTGTTTGGATGTAGGCAAGATCCTCAGCTAAAATAGATCAGACTAATAAAAAAAAATGTAAAAATACCGCACAAATTTTTATTATTGGCTCTTCTTGAGTTTTCTTTGCCAGGTCACAATTTAAATAGACTTTTAATAACAAAACAGTTACTTGGGGGCAGATTTACTATCATGTCACATCCGGTGCAAAAAGTTTTGACACCTTTTTTCTTTAAGAAATAAAACAACAAAAGATCAATTGAAGCCTCATCAGGACATCCTTTTTGTAATGTAGTTTAAATCAAGAAGATAACCAGGACCGTGTTTCCATAAGAGCAAACTGCCCCAGTGTTGTTGGAAAATTACAGTCACTCTGCTTGTTTGTCACGACCCTGATTTGGGCTTCTTCTGGATCTCCACTGAAATGATCTGTCTGCACCTCTGTGTCTAAATCCAAAATCATGGATGCCACCCAAGAAACTGGACACTCCCATAGACACAATCTCACATTTGTGACATTTTCAATTTACCACGGTTTCTAAATCCAGGCTTTTGGCTTTTCTTCTTGTTTTTTTTTTTACAAACAGTCGCCAATACCAATAAAAAAAACAGTCATCATTTAGAAAGTGGAAGCCATGTTTCTGTTACTTCACTTTTCATCAACTTTTTCACACATCGAATTACCTACAACTGTGTAGTGAAAGATTACAGTGGGTGTGATGACTCCAAAGGCCAAATTTTTTACCTTCTTAGTCCCATACATGATCTCATGGAAGTGCTGCTCAGCATCCTGGAATCTTTGGTCCAAAACTGAAACCATCCTTCTCACCACCTTCATTATCATGTAGTTGTTAAGCAAGCTGTAAAAACAAAACATGGGATTCAGACCTTTTGTACTGTCTGCAATACTATCCAAATGCTTACTATTGTGCCTTTAAACAGGATGTTTATCTAATGCAAACAGTGTAAGGTGTGTAGGTTTAATAAGGCATTTACAACACTGGTCACGAGGCAACATGCAACCTGACTTTGAAATATAAAACTATTAAAATGACAAAGTAAGCTCACCTTTTATTTGTTTTAGCTATGAGGTCAGAAACTTTCTGGAGGTATTCTTTGGCATAAACAACCACTGGCTCTGACTCGTTAAGTGGAACAGGCGCAAACACTTCTGTGAGATATGGCATCCAGTCCACTGCTGGAGCCAGATCCTGAATCAGCACAAGGCGTAACACAAAACCCCAGTTTGGTCACATGGTTGGAAATTCTGGTTTCTTGACAACCTCACACAAGGAAGACTTCCATTTAAGCTTACCTGTTTAAGAATCTAAACGTTAACCTTTGCCCTATACCACAATGCGTCTGGTATTCTTTGGAGAGAGTTATTTCTACAAGCCTGGTACACCACTCTTTTAGCTGACGTCATGAAGAGACACTCACTTTCAGGTCCTTGGCTGCTATCTTGTGATAAATGAGCTCCTCGTCTCTTCTCTCCTCCTGAGGGACCGTGATGTTAGCCAGGGTGGTTTCAAAGTCCACAATCTCTTCCATCATGGTCCGAGACGTCTCCTCCGAGCCGCCCAGAAGGACCCCCAACTTCACCAGGAAGTCGAGGTACGCCGTGAGATACTGCAAGGTTCACGTAAGCAGCACAGTGAGTTGGAGGCCTGGGAGTGCGATTCAGTTCAATTAGAAAGGTAATCCTAAAGAATTTGTGTACAACCTTGTCCACAGAGTTCATGCTCTGAGGCTGAAACCTTTATTTATTATTTCGTGGCTTCCTTGGCAGACATGCACGGGCCTTAGGGTGTACTCAAACTCTAAGTGACCTGGAAATATTTGTAACGCATGCACATTTTGGAAACAACTCGCCTTCTCATTGGCTGTCTTGTTGAGGTAGTAATCCCGTGAGGGTAGTCCCAGGCTGGACTGATCCACCTGCAGTCAAGAGAAACATCATCAGACTCTCATCATAACAACAAAAAACATTTGTTTTCTTTCCTGAGAACTTTTTAAAGATCATTAAGATCGGTTACGGTCTCATGGAAGTCATGAATCCACATTCAAGAGACAGTTTGAATGTGACGCAGCAGTAATGATGAGAGGGTCATTCTGAGGATACGATCTTAAATCTATCGGTTATGGCAGCCTGTAAAGGTTACATCTAAACGTATCACTCTGAGCTCATAGAAAAAAAAAACTGCTTTTTAAAAAAACCTTTTATACCTGGATGACGTTACTGTTGGAGTTTTTGGAGTCTGCGCTGACAAACACGGTGAAGAAAGGAGAGGTCCGCAGGCTGGCCGAGACGGTCCGCAGAACCTCTTGGAAGTTGTCCTTGTCCCACGGCTCGGTCAGACCCCATCCTCCGATCTGGAGCAGGCGGCAAACGAGTCATTTAGATAAAAAAGTGAGGGAGTGGAAAGAGGAATTTGCTTGATGTTTAACATCCTGTAAAGAGGCAGACCTGACTGATGAGCTGCTGCAAAGGCTTTGCTCCTAATTCCTCAATCTTGGACTCGTTCATGCAGGCCTCATAATATCGCTGGGCCTTTTCCTCTGCCTTACTCAATCCTTTCATCGTCGTGTTTTCTGTCAGAAAAATTATGGCATTGAAAAAAAAATATATTAAAAAAGTGCTGGAAAAGATTAAATCCAGCTCTGTGCTGGGAGAAAGGAGGGCAAAGGACTTTGAGCTGTCGTTAAAGGAACACTCTTACCTAATAAATGCTTCATCACGAGCATGTTGTGCTCCCACAGGTTGCTGAAAGGACCCCAGCGAGACTTCCCCTCAGGGAGGGGGTTGTTCCTCACCCAACCCCCACAAGCAAAGTTGTAGAAGTCGTGGCAGGGGTCTACGGATCTGTCAAGGGCTCCTAAGACGGCGTTGGTCACGGTAATGCACGGCTCCGTGAGGCACAAGCCCGGGTGAGCTGCGGCAGAAAGGTGCGTCGACAAAAACATTAAACTCTTACACATCCAACGATGTAGGCCAGAGGGAAAAGCAACCACAGCGAAGAATCTGAAAATATTTTATGGTAAGACAAATATGCAAGAGGATTTTCAGAGCATCTGGAAGCTATCATTTTGTAAGCCAATATATAGAACCTGGAGGGACTTCTTATCCCTGTAGAAATCCTTTATAAATGGTTAGCTGAAAGATGACAGGGGCGAGGCACATATTAGCCATCGGCAACTGATTATGTTGTTGTTTTATCAATAAGAAGTAGATTTAAGGAAGAGCACGACAGCAATCAAGACTACCTTGTATAAATAGAAAAAACATGTTAAAAAAACAAGTTTTTGAGTGGCTGGTTAAAAAAAACAAAAAAAAAACAACCATTTTGTTTTGGGATAGCACCTAATTTAGCTCCAAAACTATAATTGTGTTGTGTTCTAATAAATTATTCCAAGAGGAAGTAGCTACAGAAGTGAGAAAACGACCTGAGTTTCAGGAAACCTTGTTTAGAGAAGTGAAAACATTACTCATTACAAAAACTCGTCCACCTCTCACTTTTGCGTTACAGCTTCTTTCCATATAAGGAATAAGACAGACATGGAGACAACATTACGATCAGTGATGAGGTTAGTGTTCCCATAGGAGATTTCATCCTTGTTCCTTTTATTATTTCAAAGTGTGATCTGACATGCGATGCTGAATGGAAGGAAGTGGTATTCAGTTTCCCATGGTAAAATCGAGGAAACAAACACTGATGAGAAGGACGCAGGATAGGATGGGAAATCCACAAGTCCTTTCCCATAATGAACAGACTCAAGGGAGAAATTAAAGGTTGTTTTTAGGCAGTAAAATTGAGGCTTTGTTCACAGTTGTACTCTGTGTGAAACTGCTATACGTTAAAAGGGCAATGTGTGATTTTTATACAGATCAATATGGAGATGTACAAAGGTGTCACTCTGCATCAGCTCCATGTTTAGACACAATGTTAAAAAGTGGAAGATTCTGAATTTTTCTCTCTTAAACAAATAAAGCTCTCAAGGTTAAAACCTCAAAATCCCCCAAAATGTGCCAGAGGCTTTTAAAACATCCGAGCTATCTTACTATCTAAAGATGGTAACATGGGACTTTAGTTCTTTTTTATGCCTCTTCTGTATTCAGAAGCTTTATGAATGGGATCTCTGTATGTCTCTAATCACAATCAAGGGTTTATGTGCATGTGAAAGCATGATATTAATAGAGTTATGCTCCGGTTTGGTTTAAAAGCGAAGATTTGTTTCTGAGGGATTTTCAGTTTGCAGAAAGAAGTGCAAACATCACTTGAGAGAAAGGAGATTTTCGTGAAAGGAAAAAAACATTAAAAACGTCATTTGTGTTCCTACAAAAAGACAGATGCAATCTAATGGGGTGTTTTCCAGGGGAATCGGCCATTTAAGGGATTAGAGCAGCATGATAACAGCAGGAGGTGTTGGCCAGAGAATACACATAAGCCTCCATAAAATGGGGAAAGGTAGTTTTTGACATAGAGAAGATAAAGCGGTTTTACACCACCTTTACCAGATGTGCAAAAGTGCTTCGGTTCTTATCTAATGAACAGACAAGAGCATGAGAGTGTGCGCTTAATCATGTGGAGAGGTTGAAAAGTTAGTTAATATCTGTGTATTAATAAAAAAGTAAAATGGAAAGGATGTCTCTTGATCAGTCTCCTTCCCTCAAAAAAACTCCGAAAACAACAACAACAACAACCCTGGAACTCACCCTGTTTGTAGAAGACTCCGGCGGATATGAGAGACACAAACGTGGCGCCCGACAGGACACAAACCAAGAACAGCAGCCTCTTCTCTCTGTGCGTTCTGCCCGACCAGCACGTGGAGCTGCGGCCCTGCAGAAGAGTTACCTGCTTGCACAAACACACAGAGCGAAATACCGCCGCTCAGCAAATTCTTCAGCTAATCAGCCGTTTCACAGATAACTGTGAGCAAGCGATTTAACGCGAATTACCCGCAAAAGAAATGCTTTGAATTTCTGTACATCAACACACTTGATAATGCTACTTTGTTGAACTAATAGCGTGTGGAAAATGCTGCGTATGTTTAAGCTCCTTCTCAGGGATTGGATGACAGGTTTCAGTTTCAGAGCACAAAGGCTCTCTCCACGGCCCTCTCCACCCGCATACAGAAAAAGGTTGGGCATTCTTCAATTGTTCTCAGCCTCATAAAGGACTTTTTCCTTTTGCCCGGATTGAGGACAGACATAATAATCCCACTGAACCATGCCTGCTCCTGTTATGGCTATGATGTCAAACAAGGATAAGAGAAACAGAACAAAAGTAACCCGATTACAGAAAATGACCTTTTACTAAATTGGTTCTCAGAATTTGAGCTTGTAAAAATTTCACAGATGGAATAACGTCTATGAGATAAGTTGACATTTTGAAACAAATTGTACAAATCAAAATCTTGTCCTGAATGTTACCTTGATTAAAGCTGCATAGGGAATTTATCTCCTGTATGACTGATTCAAAAAGCCACAAAGAAATCCCTCAATGGGCACATTTGACTAATCAGGGTTGCTCTTTGATTATCCCCGCTGTAAATAAAAGTAACCTTTTCAGACCTCGCATGTACTCGCAGTGGAAGCCAATTTATGCCTGAAGTGTGTATATAAGGATCAGATTTACAGCTATTAGTTTAGATGAGAGTCCAACAGTCAAACTTAATGTGATCAAAGTAAAAGCCAAGCCACTGTGGCCTCTTAATCCAGGGAGCTCAGCATGTTGGGTTGAGTTGGATCTGAAACTGTACTTCAGGGTGTGACTGGAAGGATCTCAGTGCCAAAGTCAGAGCACCCTCAATCTGTGGTGCCTCAAAGTCAAATCTAATTAGACACAAACTCCAAATCGAGACAACTCTTACCATTAAATTCTGGTTAAATTGAGTGTTTTAACTAATAGCTAATATGGTTTAACCACACAACATAGTGAGGGTCTAAAGGACGGTCACTTATCCATTAACTCAACCCAGCAACCTCATCTTATCAGCATATGACTGAAATGACTTATTGATTTAGCTAAAAAATCAGCTTCGGGATCATTTCAGGGTCCACAAAATGGGTCAGTTACATAAAAATAAAGATTTGGAAGCTTGGATAAGACAAACAAATGGCGGCATTTTAAACCCAATATCAAACTGCTCGTCTGCAAAAGCGTTTAAGAGCAGAACGGAGCCTCTTTTAGGCAGAGTGACCTGAGAAACATACTATGAACTGCATTTCTCGTGTCATTCTCTTCATGTGATCTACAGACCTGACTCTGATTTCAGAGCACATACTCATTGGCTGGTTGAAACTCCTAAAAGAGGAACGCTGACAGTTTCACAGAGCGTACCTTTAATTTGAAACGTTAAAGATGGTGTTCACCTCAACTTTAAATGACTGCATGCTCTTTCTGTCCTTAAAATACCTGGCTTGCGTGTACATTTGTTAAAGGAGGTTTTGCCGTCTAAGGTGTGGAGCCTGAACAGGGCCCATGACTAATAACACCATTTACCTGCATGGGTGATGACGGGTAGACGTCGTCGGCCGTGGAGTCCACCAGGTCCTCCTCGTCCAGCGTGGCCCTCTTGTAGGTTGACATCTGAAAAGTCAAATGCAGAAAGGACTCTCTCAGTGTCTCCATGTTCCTTGAAGCCCCCCCCCTGTTCTCCGGGCTACATGAGGGGTTTTTAGCGCGTGACGTCTATTCCTCGGCAGTCCCTGAGGTCTCAGAGCAGGGCGGCCCTTTAAAGTCCATCAGGAGGAATCTGGTTCATCTGGTCGGAGCTCTTCTGCTCTCCTGCCGAGTTTGGGTTAATAAAAAGAACGAGTCCTCGTCTTTGAGAGCACTTTCCTGCTCTCTCTTAATCTATCAACACCTCCCACCGCCCCCATGCCCTCAAGCAGACACATGCGGGGGTAAAGTTAACAACACCTACAAAAACCTCTCTCCGAAACTCCTGTTTAAGATCTCCTGGTAGGTACTCTCTCCCTCCCTCTCTTTCTCTCTCTCTCTCTCTCTCTCTTCCTGGACTTCCTTTTCAGTCCAGTCTATGCAAACACGGCACGAGAGAAGACGGAACGAGTAAGAAAACAGGAAGAGCTCTGACTTGAGCGATTTGCGCGACTCAGACCGAGTGTGCAGAAGTGATTGTGTGACGGTGTGTGCCTTTGGTGCGGCAAATTCCCCAATGTGGTTTCACTTAGATGAGGGGAGGGAATCTCACGGTTGCAGTTCACACCCAGTGTCCTTTCTATAGGCCGCAATACGCTGAGGGGGAGGAGCACAAAGAAAGTAGCAGGCGCAGAGAAAACAAAAAAAAAAGGAAAAGTCCTCCTCCTACTAAATGTTGTGGTTGTTTCCTGTGGTAACTGTTAACTGATGGACACGACAGCCAGTTCCTCTTCTGCTTAATCATTCAATCACAGTTGTAAATACAACTAGTTTACAAGAGTGCATAGAGAGATAGGAGAAGGAAAAAGCAGGGGGAAAAAGGCGGTCACCGGGAGATAAAAAACAGCAAAACACAGTTATGTGAGCTAAATTAATATGAAAGCAAGCAGAACCAAGACTGGGACCCTGTCCCTGTACTACCTATTACTATGGTGAAGTGTGTGTAAAACCTATTTTTAAAGTCATATGCTGTTCATAACAATTACAGTACAAGCTTTGGCCGTGAACATGTAAACTCTACCATTATATCAGCTACTGGATTTCTTTAAGGCCATTATTCCCACCAACAGTTGATCCTTAAGAGGTCCTGATTACTCTCATAGACTCTATTAAGCCCAGTTGAGGAGCTAATAAAAATCTCCACCCAAAAGGAGGAACTTCCTGTTTCTTAGCAGATTGTAAACAGACTGTTCAATGAAAAATGATCAACGGTTTCTAACGTTGCAACGGGTCATTTCCAACCATGCGAAGTGAAAGAATCAATGTGGCTCCATGAAACAATAAGCACTGGGAAAAGAGTGATGACTAACCTCTCGCAAGCATCACGGAAACGCGAGACATTCCAGACTAGTTGGCAATGCTAAAACAATGCAAAGCAGAGGCAGCGCCGGCTATGAGGCTGCGTCTTTTCTGTCTGTGCTGAAACGAGTCAGGCATCGGAAACCCAGCGAGACTCTGACACACTCGTGTTCTGGCTCGCCCCCCCGTCCACGATAATCCCTCGAACGCTGGCTGAGGGTGAACGTTTGCATCATCAAGACCTCCTCAGAAACAACCAGGAGCTAATTAATCCTCAGATCTTAGCTTTAATTTACACCCCACAGGTTGAAATGAACATTTAAACAGGAAAATGAATGGAACAGGAATAAAAGATGTCCCCACCACAAGCATCTTCAGATAAAACCAGGAGGGTAGATTCCAGGTAAGACTTATATTTTCTAAGAAAAAAAAAAATCCAAAAAGCTCAGACAAGATGTTCCAAATCAGCCCCAGATGTACGGAGAGCAGGCCGTTCAGGTCTTACCTAAAAAAAACAACGGCGGCGAGTGAAATCCTACTTATGGCCAAACCCTTCCTGCGCTGGTGTGTTTATTAACTCCTTTAAAAGAGCAGCAGCTGGCCAGCCAGCCACACAATCAGCTTAGAAAAAGGGACAACCGGGGACTAAAAGGTAGAGAGAGATGGAGTGAGATAAGGGCGGGGAGGCGGGGGGATGATAATGGTTTCATCTGACACATAGCCCACAGGGAAATGTCAAATGGGGGGACTGGCGTTTGATTTTTCTTTCTTTTGACACACATTTGTAGTTTGCTTCACCGCAGTTTAACCTGTAGTTAATTCAAAATGGGGAACAGCTCTTCCGCGAAACCAAACAAATGTTTATGTTTATGTTTATGTTTATGGATTTGGCAGACGCTTTTATCCAAAGCGACTTACAGAGTAGACACAATATTACATTTCTCATCACAATGACAATAAACTATATAGAACAGAAACACTGATCAGAGTCAGTGGTGAGATAGAGATAGAGGTAGAGGGGCTACAGAAGGAGCTGTGGGGGGGTAGAGGTACGGGTTAGGGTTAGGATAGGAGATGCAAATGATTGCCGGAGACAGTTTTCTACGAATGAAGCGACTTATTTCTGGTTGAATCTCCAGCTCCACGTTTGGCCCCAGCGCACATAAACAAATCCCAATGACACAAGCCATGTGTTCACACACACACACACACACATTCCTAAGCAGCCATTCTCTGTTTCTGAACTTTTTCCTGGCATTGAGAAACATGCAGAAGTGCTCGGACATGTTGCCACACAGACTGACCCCCCCCACCACACACACACACACACACACACACACACACACACTCACTGTTTCCCCTTTCCTTTTTGTGAAACTTGGTGGCTAAAAGCCAGTCATTTCTGAGAAAGCATGCAAATGAGCTTTTCAAACTATGCGCAAGGCCCTCGAACCCTCTTCCGAGGAGTTCCTGTGTGGACGGCCTCACCTGACTTCTGCAAACGAAGCCTGACTTCTGCTGAAAGCTGACTTCTCTCAGTTTCCACCACAGATGACCTCACAGCTTCTGCGCCCCACAGAGAGACGCAGCAGACCACAGCCAGATTTTCAAAAGTCTTTTTTTTTTTAAATAAGAAAAAAGAGACCCTCTTTCCCATCTAAAGTTTTGAGTGGACCTTTTTCCCACAGCGAGAAAAACTCTTGTCCACTTCATTCCATGGCGTTATTTACAGGCGGAAAGAGGGTGCCTGCCTGAGTTAAAGCATTTGTAAGTTCCCATATCAAACGGAGACACATTTTGGATGACTCTGCGACTCTTAAACACGACACCTTTCGCCCCGCCGGTCCGTCTGCCTGAAGGCCGGAGATAAGACAAGGCCATCTCAGTAAGGAAAAGACGGAGGGGGCTGCTGGTTTTGGGACTACGCAAGGCATGCTTCCTGTGGAAGAAAACACCCTGATAAAAAGGAGTTAAAAAAAATAAGTTACTTTCTCTGGCAAGCAGCTTTACGCTTACTCTAAGCTAAGCTGAGGGACTTTACCAGAATCTTAACACTTTGGGGGTTATTTTTAGTGACTCATGAGTAGTGTTGTGTTGAAAAAGTAAAGAGCTTGCTCTCTCCCCTCACATGGTCGGTAATATTTAGGCAGCAGCTCTGAAATTCTTAAGATTCCTGGTTATTCAAGGACTCCGAGACATTATTCGGGACACGTTTCAGGTGCTCTGACGCGCGCGTGCTGATCAAATATCACCCAAACAGACCCTGTGTCGTCACCGTGGAGGGGCGGGCGGCTCGGGTTTCACGCCCGGCCACTCTGACCCCACATGCACCGCAGGGACAAAACAGTGCTGATCCCAGGTTAACCGCTGCCTGGGTGTCAATAAACACTTCCGGGGCTAATTTACCCATCAGCACTGGTCAAGTTGGAACGGGCGGCACATGGAGGCTTTCCCCAGACACAAACAGATTGGAGGAGATTACCTGTTCTAGCGGTTGTTGTGGCGCCCTACAGCACGCTCCTGATCACGCCCAGGTAATGAATAACGGCAGAGTGAACCCGGCTCCCAGGGTGCAGCACATCCACGGCTGTGGGGTTATTAAGCCAGTAAATCACTACAGCGTGAGACTCTACAAACAGAGATCTGATGTACTCTGAGCCCGCGTGCGCTCAAGCAATATATCTGGCAATTTGTTTCCAGGTTTCACCTTGAATTCTGACAGCCTGGCTCCATAAATCAATGGAGGGGGAAAGAGCAAAACAGAATTAAGCCTGGAATAGAGGTGGTGGTAGGGGGGGAAGCACCGGCAAAGATCCCAGGGGCATATCATACTTTTTAAAGCGGATATAAAGTCATACAATCCATATTTTGTCTGTGAGCTTCTACTAAATTATTTCCAGTGACTGTTTTCCCCTTTGTTGCCGTCTTGTTTAGTCTTTCTTTTCATACAAATATGTTACGAGCAGGCATTAGTTCATAGCCATAAATTGAAGAGGAATCCAAACAAACCATCAGTTGAAACATTTCATCTGCCACTGATCCCTATCGGCTTGGAAAGGCTGTGACAAAAAATAAAAGAAGGAAAGAAAAAAGAAAAAAAGAAAAACGTTCACTTGTGATGTACTGATGTTTTCCAGCACGTGGTTTAGGAGACAAAGGTGGATTGGAAATGACTGACCTTTAAAAATGGTGTGATGACTGTGAACACAAACCCTGATGCACCCAGATCACAGTTTTTTTAACTGAAATTAAATGTCACACAAATTATAAAGAAGCTTAATATTGCTGTGAGAGCTCAGGCGCCCAGTGATTTCAAAAGAGACAAAACAGCACATTACGACGATTGGATCATTTTTAACATCAGTAAATATTCTGTATAAACCCTATTTTTTGTCAATCCAACAGACTTAGTAGTTTCTTGTTAGGAAAATCGTGAGAAAAAAACAATCATTACACAAATTCGTACAGCTCTGTGGTCAAACACCTGAGAACTGCACACAAGTCTTTTTTTTAGTGAATCAAACAACACCACTTCAAAGTTTAAAGATGTCATTTCGATCAGCATCGTTAACAGCTTGAAGCCATGTCCTTACCGTGCTGTCACACGTCCACCGCGGTGACTCGAGGACGCTTTGAGACGAGGGGGGACAGCGAGCGAGCTTCAGCTACAACAACCAAAGAGCCAGCGCTTCATCGTCAAGATAGTTCCCCTCCAGCTCTCTCAAACTTCGCCCCCCGCTTACGACACCGGCCCGGAAATCAACCACGTCATAACGCGAGATAGCTGGGGCGAGACGTGGGTTTGCGAGCTAAATGTCGTTCCCACGAAAACGATAAGAGGAAAAGGGAGCAGCTGACTTTTTCAACCGTTTAAATGTATCGCAGTCAGCTTTTCGGTCACATAGAAATGACACAGCCTACTTGAATGCGGCTGAATTAGAGTCAGACTACTAATGAGATCATTTGATAACCTCCTGATGGAGGTTGCTAGCCGTTAGCTCAACTTAAAGCAGTGACGTTCGAGGTCGTTATTAAAATCCATATGAACTAAATTAAGTGATAAGTTGCTTTATCGACAGCTTGCCCTGTGTTGTCCGAATGTATATATTGTCAGTTGGTATTGTATATAATCACTTGGCTAAGCTGTATATGGATTTTTTCTTTCAGTTAGCGACTGTTAATAGTGCAAACAGAAATTTCGCACATTAAACAGTTACGCGAACGTTTAGACTATCAGCCACCATATTGAAATGTTAATAAGCATGTAGCTTAATAACGTTACGACTTAAGACTAGCTTTAAAAGCAAACGTCAACTCGCAGAGGATTTCTTTCCCGTTAAAAGTAGAAGCTTCGATGGGCTCAGTGTAAGCTCTTGGCTGGCCTTTCTGGCTCTGATTCTGCTCTGTAAATATTGATTTATTTATTTTTTTTGTAGTCCGGCATCCCATTAAATGCTCCGAAAGAACATGGGCTAAGTTGGATTTAAAAGCAATCGAAATGTTTTGGCATGGCTCACTCAGAGAGAGAATAAATTTAAAAAAGTCAATATTACTCGACGTGAAAACACAGAAGTGGGTTAATGCCAAATGCACATGCTCGGGGCTACTTAACTGGTATAAAAATGAAGAGCTTTAATCAACTAATGGTACTGGGAAGACGTCATCAATTAAATAAATTAAACTGGCTATAAACAAGTGATGTTGCAAGATTCCCCTAAGCCTACTAAACCCAACAGAACCCGTGAGGAGGCCAATCCTACAGCGACACCCAAAGGACGCCTCAGTCTGCCAAACTTCCCCAAAGTAAATGCAATATTTCTCCCTTTATGTCCAGCTTTACGAATGCAAAGGGAACTCTCAAATGCTGTTCAATAATATGACAATTATGACCCGAAAGAGACCCAGAAGTTACAACTAATGTTTACCTCGACCTATTAGGGGCTACTTAGCTAAATGTACTTGCTGGCAATTGTTTGAAGATAATTATTTCGTAATATCAGTTACATAGAGTAAATCAGTAACGTAACATATTTGTTCTTAGTTGCAGCTTTCATGGTAATTATATGGAATAAATTTGACTTAGTCGATGCTTTATCAAACAAAAGATCCTGTTGTTGTCTATGGAAGTTTGTCACAGTGGTTAATGGTAATTTATGACACGTAGGACTTTTTGTATGGATAATTCAGGCTTTTATTTTAATCTTAAAGTAAAAGATCGTACAGGCATGCTGAAATTTTAACATTAGTCTGGGTGTATTGCCTCTCCCAACGTACCAGTAGTATTATTGTGAGGGGGTGCCATAACACACACAGGTTCGAATTCTTGCTTTGACTTGGACTATTACAACGTCGTTCCCCCTTAAATTGGCTTCAGGAAGCCCGTGTTAAGACTAACAGATACTTCTATTACTATTAGACCCATTTAAACCACGACACCTTGTCTCTGAAGCAACGCCCGTGTCCTCAGGCAGGCGGAGCTCTCGGTCCACCGCCTCTCGCAGCAGCAGTGCATCGTTATTTCCAAGCTTTTGGAGGGGAAGGGGGGGGTCCTCTCCTCCCTTGTGGGATACAAACCGCTATTCTCAGACACCGAGGCCAGACACGAACAAGTGTGGCCTTATGAAAACGGTCCGTGAACGCAGCGTCAGGGACACGCGTTTGAAGGTGAAGAACTGAATGGACAGCGCGCGCGTTTGGACGTAGATTTCTCCCTCTAAAAACCATCCACGGTAGGTGAAACTTTCCCGATGTGAGCCCACACATAACAGGTTGCTTTGGACAGGACCATGCATGGGAAGTGTCGGAAGGAATTTTCTTTTCATTGTAACTCTCTCTTCACGTTCGCATCTCTGCTCTCCACATGCGCCTTTATAAGTCCACAATTAAGCCATTTTGGTAAATAACCAATAAGTTTTACACTGTTCATGTGATTACTATTAATCAACTTATTGTGTGTTGAACAAAGACCAGTGCAATTTGATATATATCACTCTTTACGCTTTTGATTGTTACATGTGCTTTCTTAAAGTTTGCAGAAAGTTTAATATATATATATATATATATATATATATATATCAAATATATATATATATATATATTATTTTTTTTTGTTAACCTTAAACTCAGACCCTCTGGATTAACTCAAGTAAAGAAACAATCTTTTTTTCACCTCTATTTTTAAAATATTCCAAGAAGTTAGATGAGGCTTCTGGTTCTGAACAGGACAAGTTTCAAAAGTAATGAAAGGGAATTGGCTTATATAGTATCCTTACTTGCCAGAGTCATTAGAAACAGAAGCGGTCGTAACAATCTGAGTATCTGGCACTCATTTTGATTAAGCCCATGGCAATGTCTAATTTTCTCATTCATATCCGGGCATTCTACACACACCCAATCCGTCCATTGTGGCTGCTACCTGTTGGATTTAAGGACCCGTGTGACCTGCCTCAGGCTAAACAGCAGCTCAGGGAAGAGCTGACTGAGGTAAAGCTCTTTGGAAACACCAGTTTGGACTCAGTGGGGCAGCTGAATGCTTGGTGGCACCATGTCCGAGCAGGGATTTAACATTATACTGACCACAGCGCTGTCCGGAGTCCTGCTCCTGGCAGTTCTGGCCCTCCTCTGCTATTTCTGCTGCCGGCTGGCCGGGTCGCTGCCTCTGGGAGGACCCGGCCGCTTTTGAGGCTGTTTTTCTGCGACCAACAATGCCCAGGAAGGTCAGAGGAACGACTGAGGGAGCAGCCTGGCATGAGCGCTTTACCTTTTGACGGCCTGGTTGGTGTTGGAATGTCCTTTTCTGGCATCCTGTTTTGGTTTAGACTTGTCTGATTCTTATTGGGCCAAATGGAGCCTGGCACCCGGTTCACGCCTGAGTCTCATTTTTTTGAAGGTATCGCCTCAAGCTTTTTAGGTTTTCACCAAGGCCAGTCCTAAAGACTGAGCTGAAGAGAATGACGCCAGAGCTTGATAAGAAACAACCAACCAGTTTTGCTGTGGTTCAGCCATACATGCTGCTGTTATGCTTGCAGTTAAGAGGAACTCTGAATAACACACGCCTACGGGAATAACGTCTTGCAAAGGGTGTGCCTGTGCAATAATTAGTGTCAGTAGTTTAATATTCTCTCTTTTTTTCAGAATTAGATGTAACCTGTCCATCATGCAGTGTTAATCGGCTTTGTTATGGTCGTTAAACCTCTCTGCGCGCTGGGGCACAATCCCATTAAAATGACCTTGACTATAAGCACATGGTTGGGAGGAGGAGGGTGGGGGTAATTATAGGTGTAGGCCTCACTATGTAGGACCCATGATGGGGCCCTGTGGTGGCCACTACCATTCGCTACCAAAACGCAAAGCTTACCCGTAGCAAGCTTTTATGTTTTTGTTGAGTCTACTGCGAAGTGTTTGTATAGATCAGAGACTTACTTTCAACACAAGAGTCCCCCGAAAAATGGAAGCTCTAACTATGCTCACGAAACCTCAAGATGTCCGAATAAAGGTGAGCAATTGAAGTCTTATTTGTGTTGATATCTGTTCTGTGTGTGGCATCATGATGAAGATTAATAGTGGGGGGGGGGAATGCTGTAAAGTGTGGCTGAACTCAGGAACAAACCCAGAGGTTCTCCATCAGGGTGGGTATTAAAAATCATGGTAACAATTTCACTCGGATATATTGAGTCTGTAACACAGAGCGTAACATTTGAGCCGTTATTCACCCGCTACATGTGCGTTCAGTCTCATCATGACGTGTCAGAGTTGATTTACGAGCAGATGACACAGACTAAATTACTGGTGTTTGTTCGTATTGTCTTGTAGCTCCGAGACGACAGCAGACAGACGCCTTCATCTTCTCAAAGTGGCATCTTGTGCCGGTCTAGAGTTACGCATCAGCCACACACTGACGACAGCATGAGGGTTTCAGCCCTGCTCATCGGTTCCTTCTGTCTGATTTTGGGGGGCCAGGGAAAGCCACAATTCCCGGGTGAGTAACCGTGCAGCGAACCAGACGACAAAATCAAAACCCAGACGCTGAGCTGTTTACGCTACAGAAGAAGATGTCCAAACACATGCAGGAGGTTTCCAAAGGTTGTGAGGGCATGTTACCTTTTTTTTTTTTTCAACCAAAAGCAAGCCAAGTAAAATTGGAGAATTTCTTCATGGAATTTGAAATATCTTTTTTAAGATTTCAGCTGATTTTGTGTGGCTGTAACCTGGTTAATAAGATTAAATAAGATTTTCCTTTATTGTCGAATTGTGACAGCAACAAAATAGATGGAAAAAAATCAGAAGTAGGTATTGATGATCAGTAAACATCTTTTATAAATAAAGAATAGTAATACTTATAAAACACTATGTAGAAGAGAAAAAAACAACAACAAAGCGCACAACAACAGATAACCAATAGCAACCGTTGCACATGGACTAATAAACTCCACTCTGGAATAATAATTATAGTATTTAGGCAGTTGCGTCCTTAAGTGTGTGTGTATGTGTGTGTGGTCTACTGGGGGCAGTGCTGGTCATTAAACAGCCCGGCAGCAGCAGGAAGGAAACAAACACTAAATACCTCCTTCACACATCGGAGGTGAAGGAGTCAATCACTGAAGGAGCTGCTCAGGGCACTGACGTCCTCCTGCTTGTTGTGGAAGCCAGTCCGTAAGCCATGAGAGCTCGGTTATCCTTCTCCTCTCTCGCCACCTGCACTGAGTCAAAGGGGACAACCCAGGACTGAGCCGGCTTCCTTGATTGGCTCGTCGAGTCTCCTCCTGCTGCTGATACCACAACAGTGTTAAAGAAAGTCCTCAAGAGCGCTCGCTGCTCTCCAAAGTTGCCGAGTATCCTCAGCAGACAGTCTGCTCTGGCCTCTGTTGTCAAGTGTGTGAGTGCACGTGTACAACCAGGTCCCAAAAAAAAAGAGTCCACACTATCTGAATAAAGACAGTCTGCACATTTATTTCTAAACTTCTTCCTACACTGACAATTGATCATAAATCAGCAACACTTTTTCAATGATTGCAAGCTTTTACCACGGACAGATTCAGGAGGTCGCGAACAAATCTGACAAAAGTGAATGAAATGGTTTTCATTGGAACTTTCTCTCACAACAGATTTGTCAAACCTAAATCTGAAAATGTAAGCAGCAGATTCAAAATCCCCCTGTTGTGCTGTTGTAGTAGCTGTTACTCACTCGTCAATCCACAGTTAAGTGATGAGGTGGAGTTGGAAACTTAAGTTTTTAAAAGGTTTATCTGGATGTAAAAGATCGAGGAAAGTGACTGTAGTTTGAGTTGATTCGATTAAGCTGGTTACAACAAAGAGTAGTCATAAAACATCTGAATTTACAAAGCTGTTCAGGGCATAAGGACAAAATTTGATATATTATTGGGGAAGAATAATACATCAAATATTCAAATTTGAGAAGCTGGACCGATAGACGGTCACATTCAGTACTTTTAAAAAAAACTACACTTTTTTTTTTTACTTCACAGCGTTTTAATTCACCATGCTGAGAAAGTTTGAAGACAAGACGTCTTCTGATTGTTTCTGTGTGTATCGTTATCTAACCGGATGTGGGTTTTGCATCCCTCAGAACAAGAGAAAGATCCCAAGTTTTGGAACACGTGGGCTCAGCGGACGCTGAAGAATGCTTTGAACCTGCAAAGCCTCAACAAAAACAAGGCAAAGAATCTCATCCTCTTCCTTGGAGATGGCAAGTATTCAAAAAACATTGTTAAATCACAATTGGTATTAAAATGAAGCTGGATAGAAAGCATTGTTTAAAGGAGATTATCTGTTCTTCCAGTGAGATCAGTAACACACATCTAGACTGACAGTGTAGTCGTGAATAAGAATACATATAAACCTTTTATCTGACAAAATGATGTGATTTTAGGACATTGTGATGCTTTAGAAGTTCTTTTTTGTGTGATTTTCGGAGTGTTTTCTAGCGTGAGGTGAATGAAAAGCAGCAGATCAGTGGGCTTCTGTGTGTGCTGGGACGCTCACTGGTTGCACAAAAACTTTTGTCCTCCGTCGGGCCTCTGCTGTTCCTCTGTTTCAGTCCAGGCACAGCCCGGCATTCTTGCACATTTCTGCATTCATGGTCACATTAACATAGCAGCAGAATACCAGGAAACGCCATCACAGTTAAAAGTACCGTTACTAAACACAGCATAAAATGTCTTTTGGCTGTAAAATGTTTCAGGTGTCGCACGATTTATCTCAGGAAAACTAAAGGGGTGTCAGGGATTAGGTGTCCTCTGTGGTAAGATCTCTGCATGGCAGATATTATCACACTTTTGCTGGAAATTCTTAAACATTACAGTCTAGAGTCTAGTTTTATCAAAGCTAGACCTGGAACTTTAGGTGCATGCAAAAATAATTTGTTCTGTTAGGAGAAGATTTACAACTATATGCTAAATCAGGAATTTAAAAAGAAGTTATGTTAATTTCTCAAGTTTTGACAGTTTATTTCAGGCTTAAAGTAAAAAAAAAAGAAAGGATGAATTGATTTAAATAAACCCTAATCGGACACATACAATCTTAATGTGTCTTGATTTTTAGTGTTTAAAAAAAGGAGAATTCGCTTCCTTGTGCAAAATGTAGATTGAATATTCTTTTTCCCCTTTAGAGGTTATGTTTATTTAAAAAAATGTTTTGCTACACCACAGTCGTCCTGTTCTGAAATTTCAAAGAAAACTTGTGCTGTGGACTGAGAACAATGAAACAGGGGATTAAAAAACACATGTTAACACTGTGTACGCAGGCTTTTTGGCCCCGCTGAATGAAATCAATCTTAAAAGTCAATGTGCTTTTTGGTGTTCAGGAATGGGCGTTCCCACGGTGACGGCTGCTCGAATCCTGAAGGGTCAACTAAGCGGGAAAAGTGGAGAAGAGACTCAGCTGGAGATGGACAAGTTCCCTTTTGTATCGCTGGCCAAGGTCTAGCTATCATACAATATTTCACAATATATTGATTTCTCTGTTGCCTCTAATGACCTGTTTGAATAGGTAAAGAAGAGTACAAAGGGTCAGTTTCTCTTCCAGGCTGTTTATTTTACTACAGATTTCATTTTTAATTACTCAACCTGTAAAGCCGTCAGTATCTACGGTCATCTATGAACTAGTCATACTACTTGTCATGCGATTAACTATAAGTCATACTTCAAACTAGCCCTAATGGATCGCACTAAGCCTGTTACGGTGCCTAAAGCCGGGCATTGCACTTTTCATAAACTGAGAACAATGTCATGTGTGAGCAGCGCGTAAAAGAACGACAAAGAGCACAAAAGCTCGTGTTATGTAATCATGATAGCTGAATGGAACAGCTCATGCAAAACCAAAGCGTTTATATTTGTGAACTGTCCACAGAATTTGTCGTCGCAGATGGATGAGGGGACCTGTTACAGGTTCTGGGTTTAAGAGCTCTTAACTGTGAGCCAAACCCAACATGGGAATGGTAAAAAGGCACGTTGTCAAATAAATGTCTTTTATTTTTTCTGTGTGGTCACCTTTACCTGCCATTTGCTAACAATGTAGTGGCAAGCAGTTTTACACAAATCTTCTTTAAAAGCTCTATATTTATGACTTGTGTAAGGGAATGCTTTTGAGGAAAAGAAATAAAGCACTGACTTGGTTTATGCATTACTGTTTGTGCTCTATTCACAGGGTTTATTTTAGGAAATTCTACAGTATATTCTATGAGGACATGCCGTAGCTCAGTACTTTAGCCCTTTAAAGCCTAATACAGGTGAAAAATGGAGAGAAAATTATCTCTTTTTAAATCTTTCAAAAGAATATGAGAAATAAAACAAAAGTAATTTATTTAAATGTGTGTCAGCTATTGCAGTATAGTCTTCTGGCCACTGGCATCAGGCTTTTCAAATTGTTTCTACCACGTACCAAATGCGATGCATGGAAAATTTTGGGGTTAGAAGGATTTTCTTTTCTGTTTTAGGATGTCGGACGTATGCATGTATTTGATATAAGGTTATTTTCATTTGAAAGCAATATGGTGTTATATGAACAAAAGTCAAACCAAAGAATCAGAATAACTGGAGAGGCCACTGATCTTTTGGGCGGCTTGTGTCTGTGCAGACATACAACACTAACGCCCAGGTGCCAGACAGCGCTGGCACGGCCACCGCTTACCTCTGCGGGGTGAAGGCCAACGAGGGCACGGTGGGCGTGAGCGCCGCCGCCGTCCGCGCCCAGTGCAACACCACGCAGGGAAACGAAGTCACCTCCATCCTCAAATGGGCTAAAGATGCAGGTGAGGACAGAAAACGAAGTCAGATTTTTTTTCCTGCTCCTTGAATGATAAATGGTTTCTGCATTGGATGTTTGAAGAAGCCAATCCTACATAGAAATAGTGTTTATTGATGTGAATGGGGGCATACCACAGCGACTGGGTGACTCAAAGGAATAACTTTGTGGTGGTCTGGAAACCGAAGCTTCAAAGACCTTCTCTTGAGTTTGCTTATTGAATCAGTCTCAGAGAATTGAGGTTGAAAAATTCTCTTTACCAAAGGCTTGGATTTCTATAATTACGCTTATTTCTTTGTCTGTACATCGCTGTCCTGGAAGTCCATGATGTTTAAACAATGTGCCTTTCTTTATATCTCTTAACTTGAACTGTACAAGGTTGTTAAAAATATCACAATTATCAAAAGATGCTAAGCAACAAATCGATTTTGGGATATTTTCCCCGGTCTTCAAATTAGGAGGTCAGTATTGTGTAATAGAGAGAAAACAAAGATCTCCACCTCAGAAGGGTGAGGTTTTTCAATGAGGAAAATTGCAAAACAATTTTAAGGTCGGCTTGTGACATGATGGAGTTTGCCAAATACAAAACAATCTAAGGCACCACAGAAGAAGAGACAGAAAACAAATGGCTTTAGTGGCAGGTTAAAGTCAGGGGTTGTGGAAGAACAGGATGCTGGCGTGTGAACTTGTGTGAGATGGAAATGCGTGGGTCACAGTGGGAAATCCAATCATTGGTCAGGGAACGATCAGATATGACTTTGTTGCCTCAGCAACACTGATACGAGGCCGTGGAATGCAATAGCAAAAAAAGCTACTTTGAAGTCATAAACTTGACCCTGATTCAGAAAATGTCTTTTGTATGTTAACTATAGGAAAGTCTGTGGGAATAGTGACCACAACCCGCGTCAACCACGCCACTCCCAGTGCCGCTTATGCCCACTGCGTCAACAGAGACTGGTACTCCGACAACGAGATGCCCCCTGAAGCCCTGCAGGGCGGCTGCAAAGATATCGCCAGGCAGCTCTTTGAAAATATTCCAAACATCGACGTAAGTTTTCTTGAGTTCTGAATGATGACTGATTTCATTCCGTTTTATTGGTAAATCTCTAACTGGAGCTCTTTAGTCATGTATGCTACTTCTGCACAGACTGATCTGACAGACTACACATCTTAGTCATCCTTTAATTATGCTTTAATACAATCATAAAAGGATACATGCAAATTATAATACGTAGTTATAACAGTGAGATACCTGAAGCTAAACTGCGATGATAAACATAGCATAAGCAGTTAGAGCTTTTGGATCTCATTAACTGACTTATTTTCTCCTTGGTTTACAAAAATAAGGATTTTCACCATTAAGTGTGTAGTTTTTATTGAAAAAAAAGCATAACATTGCATGTTAGAAAGCCAACAAGTGGAATTATTTAAAATGGTATCGTTCACGTAGAAGGCTTTTTAAAGTTTAGCCCTGAACTGATGATGGAGTGATCGATGTAGTTATCTACTCTGCAACTTTTCAGGTGGTTATGGGTGGAGGAAGGAAATTTATGTTCCCCAAAAACCAGTCAGATGTAGAATACCCTGATGTAGCGAAGCACAGCGGCACACGGAAAGACGGAAGGAACCTGGTGCAGGAGTGGATTGACAGAGTGAAGCACAAGGTACACTTTCCCTCTTCTTCTTTTGTCTTTTCTTGTATCCTAGCCTCGTGTGTGCCCACTCAGTTGAATTATCATATTTTGAAGTCTCAAAGGCATTTCATTTTTAAGTCCTGTTTTTTTTGTAGAAGGGCCATTATGTGTGGAACAAGAAGCAGCTTCTGTCCCTGAACCCAAACAGCGTGGATTTCTTACTGGGTAAGTCTCAGTGTCATTAGAAAACTCCCATTGAAGTGGAAATGAGGAGGCATTAGTCACTGTATTTGCTCTAGGCGTCTTTCCTGTGTCTGATGTGTTCTTTCTCTGCTCCTGCTGTTATTCCAGGCCTCTTTGAACCTGTGGATATGACTTATGACTTGGAGAGGAACGCCGAAACCGATCCTTCACTGACTGAGATGGTAGATGTGGCAATAAAGATCCTAAGGAAGAACCCTAATGGCTTTTACCTGCTTGTGGAGGGTGAGCGAAACTAGTAAACTAGCATTCGATATTATGCGGTGTATTAAAACACAATATTTACTTTGCTCTGTTTACACTATCGTCTTTAAAAAGTGTCAGTCAGTTCTGGAGACCTATGATATTCAGAATGCGAATTAACGTATAGCAACTGAGGTAGAGGGAGATTAAATATCTTGGCTGATGTGGGAAACCGTCCCGGCCCACAAGGACGAGCCAGAGGAACTGGCGGGGAAGAGAGAGGTCAGGGGGGATTCTCTACTTAGATCCCAGATAAGCTCTCGGAAATGGATTAATATAACAAATACTGCCAAATAGTTAAAGGAAGAGGAAGTTGGGTGCTGATGACCTTATGAACCATATTATTGTTCAGTGAAACTAAATAAAGCAGTCAGTGAAAAATAGGATAAAACAAAAATAAACTCAGCATATATTTAACTTTTTTTACTTTTAGTAATCTTTTGATTTGTAAAACTTTATACGTGTGCCCATTTTACAGCTTAAGGAAGAGAGACAGAAATTCAGCAGGGTTGAAACTACTTTGACATTGTGTTAGAAAATGATATCAAATTTCATACAAGCTACCTAACAGCTACTTATAAATAAATCCTCCCCCCTGTCAGGAGGACGTATTGACCATGGACACCACGAGGGCAAGGCCAAGCAGGCGCTGCATGAGGCGGTGGAAATGGACCGGGCTATTGGCCAGGCACATCTTCTGACCAGCGTCCATGATACACTGACCGTTGTTACAGCCGACCATTCTCACGTGTTCAGCTTTGGGGGCTACACGTACAGAGGAAATCCAATATTTGGTGTGTTGAATTGAAAAATGGTGATGCGTACTTGGGAGTTATGATTTGGAGCTCTCGTCGTAAAGCTTCAATTTCTTTTCGCTTTGTCTCCGTCACCAGGTCTGGCCCCCATGATGAGCGATGTTGATCAGAAACCTTTCACCTCCATTTTATATGCAAACGGACCAGGTTACAAACACGTGAATGGAGTGAGGGAGAATGTTTCCACGGTGGATTTCAGTGAGTGTTTTTTCTTGGCCAAACAGGATCAAGACGTGTGTTAAGATAGCATTTTAGGCCCTTGCTTTAGTCTATGGATCTGTTGTAGTTGCTATTCAGAGCTCAGCTTATGTGGATAATTTAAATACTTCAGAAAAGAAGTCAGACACATAACAGCAACTGAGAGAAACTGTACGGTCACAAATTAGTTGTGTGATGTTCTCTTGGATTTTCCTGAAATTAGTTAGAGAATTTAAAGAAAATAATGCCTCTCAATCTTTCCTGTGTCTTCCTTTAAGTGGGAAGCAACTACCAAGCCCAGTCAGCTGTTCCTCTGGCCTTGGAGACTCATGGAGGAGAGGATGTGGCCGTCTTTGCCAAGGGTCCCCTCGCTCACCTGCTACACGGAGTCCAAGAACAGAACTACATCCCACATGTAATGGCGTATGCAGCCTGTATCGGCCAGAACAGAGAGCACTGCCTCTCAACCGGTGGCACAGTCGGCCTGCAGCCTGTATTTTCAAGCATAGCAGCCATTCTCACAGTAGCTCGACTTCTGTGTTAACCTTCCACAGACACTTTATTCCAGTAATATAAATTTGAACCAATGTCTCATCACATTTTTTTTGGTTCGTTTTTAATTTCTGTTTAGAATTTTTTTTTTTTACTGCGGGACCACTAAAAGACAAATTTTATGGTGAAATATTAAGTTAGAAAAACCCAAAAGCACATTCTCCAGTTATTTAAACATGAATGCACCACTCCTGTAATTTAGAATAAGCTGTTTTAACAGTGTATTGTGATAGCAAAAAGTAAAGTAAACTTTTTTTTTAAACCTTTTAAACAGGTCGTAGCAGCAATGTCTGAAACTGGCTGAGATAGAGATTTTTTTAGGTGCACTTGGCCTTGTTAAGTGTTGGTTGCAGGCATGTCTGACCCTGCATGGGTCCTACTATCTATCTAGACTGATTTACCCCCTTTTTCAAGGCTGTTCTTTTCTGCCCAGCTGTAGGATTGTGCAGACATAAGAAAGATGTTCTTTTTGACAACACAATCCTTAGCTGTATTTGAAGTGCTGGCCAACTCATTTGGAGAATGACTACAGTCAAATTGTTACAGTGAAAAAAACTTAACAAATTTAGCGTATATTTGAAAACTAAGGATGGTGTCAGTTTAATTTATTAGTATTTATCAGTTTAATTCTGTTAATCCAAATGTCAAAAACTTGAATAAAATCCATCCTGCTGCACGGAAAAGAAAAGAAAAAAAAATTGAGATCATGAAACCAGATAATTGGGACTTTTTTATGGCCTGTTCAATCATGTTTAATGTCAATTCTGTTCTAGACTAAATCTTTCCATTGTATTACAGACGTGCATTTAACAGAATCTACCTCAAAAGCTTTCTAATCACTCAAGACAGTTGTGTGTTTTCAAGGACACATTTTGGGGAACAAATTTTGTGTCGAACTGAATGGCAACTGAATGTATAATTGACAAAACGTTTAATCGAATTTTTTTTATTGATAATGTCACAAACGCTTTCCAATCTCACAAAAAGCAACACGAAAGACCTTGTTCGATTGTTTTGTCCAAGTATCATTTCAGTCCTGTAAAGAATAAATGTGTCTGTTTTATGACAATGTTGTTGTATGTTTTGTTGAACCTTTAATAGTTTGAATATTTTAAATGTTTAAATGATTTATTTAGACTAGACTTATCAAATGTGTGACAAATCCGGTATACAGTTTTCGTGACCTGTGCAGTCTCAGCTCAAAACAACACACTCTTTTTCGGGTTTCTCAATGCAAAACATACATTTTCAGTCAGTCGCAACACAAAAAAACTTGTGCTATTGAACATCTTGTTTCCAGTGTGTTTCATACGTGTGTCGGTCTTCTCCAGCTGCTCGTGTGACTGGAACGGAATGTGAACAGACTGAAGCCACTCATTCTTTTGCATCATGCGGTCGCCGGGAGAACAGAGGATTCCTGATGGCTGAGGGGTTGAAAAGGGAGGTTTAGATCAAACGGGGAGCAGATGAAGGGCTTCATGCTGTCAATAGTTGTTTTCAGTGCCGTGACACACACTTCTGCTTCAGAGGTAAAAAGAAAAAAGAATTTTTAAATTGCAGCAGCTTTGAAGCTGGTTATGCATCACACGCTATTCTTTTTCTGACACGGAACAATTTGACTTTTAAATATTTATTTCATCAGACTGTTTACTCCTTTTACTCAAACGTAAGGGGAAGTTGAGAGAAAGGAATCTTTGCCTGCAGATGACACGTCTGGATCTTGGTTCAATCCAACTTAAACTGAACATAAAGAAAGTAAAAATGTTTGGACTAGTTCAAACTGGACATAAAATGACAGTTTTGTACATCCCCTTTGTATATATGCACAGGTTAAATTAGGGTTCATTATCAATGCATGTCTCGCCTGTGGTAACATCTGATGGGTGATTTTGGTTTGCACCAGTGCCAAGACAAATTAGCTGTTTTTATTGCTTCATGATGTAATTGTGAGTGTTAAAGCCTCAGCTGCATCAAGTTCACGGGGGACACTTCAAACTTGATTTATAGGATAGGATAGGTAGGATAAATGTTAACCGCTGCCCAGTAATCCTGCTTTATTTTATCCACTTTATTTTATCTACTCCATATTCAAAGATCTATGTTGGCTATCAAACTGTTACAGGATGTATGAACTTGCTCTCATTCTCATACATTACTCACATCTAAGTCTGCTTTCCAAAATGATGAAATGCAGTAAAAGCCCAGGAAGTGGTGGTGTACATGAACTGTACTTCATTTGCCTTGCAAAATTCTTGCAATTCGTTCCCCAACATCAAGTGAAAAAATTAACGTAGCAAACAATAACCAGTGATTTGCCTTGTGGTCACTCTTCTGTCCCAGCCTGGAGATCTTTGTGAGTTGAAAAATGTTTTCATACAAAATATGGTCGCCGGAGAATTCATGTTTACCGTTGGAGGCTGGAAAGATTTGTAACAACATGATTTTCTATGTTATTCTACTAACCGGTTTATAGGATAAGCCATTGAGAAAATATTAACCTGGCAAGTGTTCCAGTAAATCTTAAAGTAAACAGTAAAGAGGGTGACATGACAAATCACAGGAACTGTCAAAAATTAGTTAAAAGAACTGAAGGCTAGAGGAATGTCCTGAGACTTGACTGAGGCACACGATGAAGTGACACACAGTTTTTAGTTGAGGGTGCAGAGTTTTGTTTTCAAAGAAATGAATGGACTTCTTAAACTGAGTTACCCACTAACTGGAGTATTGGTTTCGCTGTTCCCAGCTTCTCCAGTCAGTGTGTGGAAACGTCCGTGTGGGATACTGAGACCTAACTGCTGCCAGATTGTTCATACATATGTAAACTGGTGCGTGACAGGAGACGTGCTTTATGTAGAGTCATCCATTTAAGAAAAGACATCCATGTGTGTTTATTAAGGAGTGGTCCATGGAACCAGCAGAGCTCATCAAAAGCACATGTTTTTCATTTCATGGTTCTTGATTAAGATGATGTGAATAAAACCCAAAACAATGTGACCCAAACAAAAAACTAGTGTAATATTTCATACAAAAATGCTTATTTCAGGCACTTCTTCAAATAACAGGAGCTGAATGTTCTTCTGCTATAAATTCCTCTGCAGAGGGTTATAATTTTTTGGAAGACTCATCTCTTCTTTGCTAACCCTACTTTCTATCAAGATGAAAAAATCGTTCGCCTGCACTCTCATATTTTGGGGTTAATGGGAAAACGGAAACTGTTTCACAGGAGATACAGATCTTGATTTATCTCCAAAGTTTCTGACTGTACCATGCGGTGTCCCGGAGCAACTGAAATGAAATTGCACATCAAGATTTTGCCCGAGTCTCTGAACAGACTGCTGTGACAGCTTTCTATTTCAGTGCCTCTGTTCTCAGCTGTCCAGCCACTTTTAATTTGTTCCCTTTTCACTCTGAGCTATGGCGTTTCATTTCAATCAGATTCTCTGTGTCTGTGTCGGGGATCCTCGCCGCATCTGTGTCAGGATTTCCAGACCTCAATTCACTGTTAGCATGACTGAATAAGTGGAGTAAAAAAGAGAAGGGTGATTTGCATTGAGAAATTCTGTCAGATCAAACTAAAAAAACACAGATGAGGTTGACAGCTTTGGGATGTTGTGCATGAAAGCAACAGACGCGGAGAGAAAATGCCAATTCTTCACTTTTCTGAGATTTTCTTCGAGACAAATGATGATGAAGAGGTCCTAGAGAACGAAGAAAACCTGAATATTCAGCAAAGCATTAGTGGGGACTTGGAAACTGAAAGAAACCCCCTTTGTGGCTGCTTTCGTTGCTGAGGATGTGTGCATGGAGAAAACCAGATTTCAGCTGCTTTTGAACATTTTTTTATCATTCACCAAGTCCCCCTCGGTGGCGTTGCTTGATTGCACTGTGATTAAGGGAAGGGGACATGTGTCACCATTGTGTGTGGGTTCAGGCATGTCGGGCCATTTGTCACTGAGAGTTACTGAAATCCTGATTGTTCATCAGCACAAGTACGCAACTGATTATGAGCCTGAGCCTGGAGAGAAAAGGGGCCAGTCCGTGACAAAACGAAGTCGTTGAGGTTAGCTCAAACAAGGAGACGTTGTGTTTCAGTCCTAAAATTTGGAACGGTCTTTCCTGTAGAAGTGAGAAAGGCCTCCACCTGTGACCATGTTCAAATCCAGACTGAAAACAGTCCTACCGTATTTGCTGTCCATATGACAAGTGAAAGTAATATATCTACACTCTCCACTTTATTTATTCAATTTTTTAAACCTGTTTTGCATGTCTTTCTTAATTTTCTGCTTTTAAGTTCTTACTTTTTAATGTAAGTTTTCTTTTTCATCGTTAATTGCACTATTCAGGGAAACTGGCCTTGCCTTGTGAATCAATACAAATAAAAAAAACACAACAAACCCTTACAAAGGGAAATACCTGTGGATGATGATTTTTAGCCTCAGAGTATTTGACATGTCTCAACATCCTGTGCTGGTTTACTCCTCAGGCAGATGAGTTCCTGCTCTGCATGAGCTCCCGGCTTCCCACCGAAGGCCCGCTGCTCATATTTTAGCTTCGGGTGCCGATTACATTGTCCTTGTTTTGCTAACCCTCCCTCTGGTGTCTGCTGTGATGCTCCACGAGGAGTGTTTGTCAGCACATTTTTTGGCATGCTGTTTTGTTTGTTTGCTTGCTGGAGATTGAACCGTCTTTTACACCAGGACTCTCTTATGACTTGTTGACTTTGTGCCTTTCCACCGTGGTTTTATTTTTTGCTTTTCCTCTTAACTTTCAAGATAAGTTAGTAATTGTCATTGAGGGCAACTGAAAGCAGTCCATCTGGTCTGTTTGTCCTGTACCTATTTTCCCATCATAACAGGGTTGGGTACGTTCTTGTGGTGGTATTGTAATCACCTGAAAAATATGTGCTGAGATTTACTCTATGAATTCCAAACATTTTTGTATCGCAGATATAGAAGTCTTACTTTCAATGGAAATAAACACCCTCTGTTGCAGGTTCAAATAGCATGTTGTTTCTACATAGTGGAAGATTTAAAGGCTGTGGACTTAAGACGTTAGTTTGGCTTCTTGTGTTTTAATATTTTTCATATGACAACAAAGATATTCCATGACAGGAAAAAAAAACAGTCAATAGAAACTATAGCTGTAGAGGTGCATTTTTGTGCCAAATAGCTTTAAAAATTGACTTTCT